ATACCGTAGATCGGTATAGACTGTAATCTTTCATATTCCTTTCTACCATTACTCATTCTGTTTCACTCTTATACTTGTCAAAACTCTATTGATTCTCTTCACTCATCTTCTTGTCTACCTATGTGTGCTATTTGGAACGTGGCAACTCGAACTGCTGCACTTCGGTGCCAACTTCTGTGTTGAATCCAGACAGACAGGCAGACAGATACCTTTGCTTCCGTGTCTTGCCTTCTGCTGTTACAAAACGACTTCCTCAATGAGGTGCTTAAGATTATCAGAGAATTACTTAGTAAAATTGGTTATCCAGGTAAGTCCATTGAAAAAAAATTTGAATTTGACACCAAAACAAACCTGTAGGGCAACAGCTGCAAAAAAGATCACCGTTCATTAACATGCTATTCTTCTGTGATAACATCAGTGAAATAGTAACACAGTCCCTGAAGAGTGCAGTTAAAGAGAATTCAGTCTAGGAGATGTGCGCTGTCTCTTCACATCCACTCAGATTTCACGTTCTAGAAATAAGGACAAACTGCTTAATTTCACTCCCTCTATGACTGTAGCTGTAGAGCCAGCTATATTGGCCGTACAATTAGGCAGGTTCACCATCGCATTTCTGAAAATCATCCAGCGTGGTTAAGCAAAGAACAAACAAGATCCATTCGTAGCTTTGTATTAGTACACTTTGTAGACAGTGAGCATAAAATTGATGTGCGTCGGTGGCACAGTGGTTAGGACTCTCGCCGACCATGCACATGGTCCGGGGTTCGATCCCTTGCCGGCGCACACCCGATATCTATGGTCGGCCTGAATTTGGGCTACCGATATCGATGCTGAAAATTCCATACTTGTACTGAAAATACGGTGTGGAATCAAGCTGTAAATCAAAATAAAAAAATAAAAATAAATAATTACAGCTGTTTATCGCATTCAGAAGGCTAATCTTAATTTTGCTTTGGAACTGAAGTCATAGGAATCCACCTGAAGAAGCCAGATCTGTATGTGTTCAGCGGAAACTCGTACAGCTACTTTCTTTATCTTGACCATTGTTACATGAATGTAAAAACCTGAATAAAGCCTGTGGGCATCATAGGTTTGTAATCAGAGTTTTCCAACTCTTCTAGGTTGACCCACATGTTCACCAGTCCGGTTGTAAGCGTCAGACATTCTCATTCACCCTTTCACACTTTTGAGGAACACCCCCACCATCGCGTGAAAGCAGTGGCTAGGACTTACCTAGAAGAGGCTGTAAATGGGCGGCTAAATGTGAAAGCATCTCGACAGGCAGACCGAATTCTACCGACTCTGAATTGAGGTTAAGCATAGGTCGAGTTCTGGGTAAGGAGGGAGGCCATGAAGCTGCATCGACTGAGATGGCTAGGAAATGTCTTACGCATTCCTAGTCATCTCCTGCCTCGACCGGCAATGTTAGTTGACATATGATGGGTCAGGTTGGAAAAGAGTTAGCGGTGGTCAAACCAAAACACGGCATCAGCCAATGAAATCCACAACAGTTAGTGTAAGCCACGTAGGATAGTGTAGACTTACTGACTGGCTGGTTGGGGTCCTCGGGACGGTAAAAGTCAAGGGGTTGCAGACAATTGGTGATATGGCTCAAAATCGTTCTCAGTGATGGCGCAGATGCATCCACTCCTTGTGACTTTTAATACCCAATGAAACTAAGTTGTTCTTCGTTATTACTATTCCTTTTGTGTCATATCTCTGTCTATTGTCTCCATTTTGCATTTCTTCTCTTGCTTTGTGTGCTACATGGAGTGTGGCGACTCGAACTGCTGCACATCGGTGCAAAGTTCTATGTTGAAAACAGGCCGACTCTGAGCTGTACTAGATCTCTTGTGGGAGCTGTGGAGGACTTATTCTGTCGACTGTTTATTGTCATCATTACGCAAAGTGTTGTAATTTGTCTCGACATACCTTGATCAAACATCAATTGATATTTCTTCTTTGTTTTCATAATAGATGGGAACGTCAAGATGAAATTTCTGCTGCTTTAAAGGCTGGTATCAGTGTTGTTGTCGATCGTTACAGTTATTCGGGTATTGCTAATACAGCTGCGAAATTTCACCCACTCTCAGAAGCTGATTGGCAATGGTGTCGTTCCACAGAATCTGGTCTACTACAACCTGATTTTATATTTTGTCTTGCCCCGGAAAATTTCGCTGAAATCACAGTACGTGATGGATTCGGTGAAAAGAAATTTGAGACACCAGATTTTCAGAAACAAGTTCTTATCAATTATGGTCGTCTGTCACGTGAAATGGAATCAGAATTGAATGAGGCTGCTGGTGGTGATGCTGCTACTGAGACAAAAGACTTGGAACCACGACTATGGCATTGGATACCAGCAACTGGACAAACTGTAGACGATACACATTCATGCATAATGGCAATCATCGATCCAAAACTATAGGGGGTTCCTTTTTAAATATAAACTTTTCTACATACTCTATGGTCTTTTGGTGTTCGCAATTTTCTTGTGAGAGTCACAGAAGGCGGTAGAAATCATAAAGGTACTCTTGTAACGGAAGAAGGGAAGAGAGTTAGTAAGGCACCATTTTTTAATTTGCAATTTGCGTCTATGTACTGGATGGAAGCACGATGTGCTAGTAGAATTAATGGATGCCAGCCACGTCTTCAGTGTACGGTTGATACTCTCAATCAAACCATTCGTTTGTGGATGATATGGTGTTGTTCTGATCTTCTTGATACCCAGCTGTTGCAAATAGGATGCAAATTCTTCATTTTTTAAAACACAGACCCTGATCTGCCAGTATCGTTTTTGGTACACCGTGGTCTGCAATAATGTGACGAACTACTGTGTCAGTCATAGTTCTTGCGCTTTTATCGGGGGTCGTGATGGCGTCTACTCATCGTGTGGCGTGCCCCATCATCACCAGGAGGTACTGATTACCATAGGATGTCTGCGGAAAAGGACCCATCACATCTATGGACCACCAGTCACCTACTGCGGTAATTGGAATCAACCGCAGAGGCGGTTGTATGCACTTATATACTTCCATCAACTGACACTGCGGACATCCAAGTACATATTTTGCCACATATTCTCTCATACATGGCCAGTAAATGTTTGGTCGGTTGTTCTGGCCACTCCTGTAGGTGCTAGCTGGTGGCATTCTTGTGTCATCTCATGGCGTAGGGACTGACGTATTCCCAAAAATATGGTGGAGATATGTAGATGGCACTTTCACAGTGTTAAAAACAGAATATATCTCTAGCTTCTTGACACACATAAACTCACTAGTGGAGAGAATAAAATTCACAGTTGAAGCCGAAAATGAACAAGGAGAATTAGCTATGTTAGACTGTAAAATAAAACGAATAGAAGAAGGCAAACTACACACTAGTGTTTATAGAAAACCAACACATTCTAATAGATATTTAGAATTTAATTCATCTCATCCTTTAACTGTTAAGGCAGGCTTAGTTAAGTGTTTAACAAACCGAGCAATGGCACTAAGTAGCACAAAAAAGACCTAAATGATGAAATAAAACAGATAGAAGAGGCGTTGGTTTTAAATAACTATCCTTCATTCATCGAATCTACACCCAACACATGCAATAGGAATGATTCATCACTCATGCCCGAAATATGGAAAATAATACTACCAATCAAATCAAGTGAAAACCAATGGAACTATATAAATGAATTTAGGAAGTCGTGTGATTACCTTGATATGATTATGAGCAATGAATTGTGCTCGAAACGTCATCAGTAAATATTACTGTATAACACTGTGAGATTTTATCAAAACAAAATTTACCCATAATGGAGTTCTCTCACCAAGTCAGAGTTCCGTAGGCGTTTACTCTTAATCAATCTGTCTGAGCAGCGTGTTTAGCTGTTATTTATGTCTTATTCTTAATGGGATCTTCATTGTGTGGAGGAAGTGACACCAAAATGTAAAACAGAAGGCAAGAGGCTTGGTAACGGACCTATTTTCAATTTTGCCTACTTTCTATCAATCTGTGTCTATATACTACTGATAATTCTTGTCAGTAGCACATGCCACAACATAAGTGAAGCGTAAAAATTCGTGAAATATGGAGATTTCTAAGAGATGATAGTTTGTCCGGATAGCCTGTTATTTGTCTACTAGTCTGTCTGACTCAGTTGGTTTGAACTGTGATGCTGGTCAGATTTCTTCCTCAGCTGCAGTCATCAATCACATACTTTATATTATCTCATGGGTCTGGCTGGCTGGCTGGCTGGATTCAACATAGAACTTGGCACCGAAGTGCAGCGGTTCGAGTTGCCACGTTGTTGTGATTTGAGAAACATTCGACCAGTTTTAACAAGGATTGATTGTCTGACTGAGGGAATAAATTCGTCGTAATGTCTTTCAAGTTTCGAAATTATTCTGAAGAGTGGAATGGGTCTCAGGTTCGAATCCCACTCCATCGAATTGAGTCTTTGCAGTTGACTAGAATCATCACGAC